CAACAAACATATCTAGATCCATAATCTATTCTTGCCAGTGGCATAGACAATCTCATGAGGCAAGCTGAATTTTCAACTGAAGGCATTCCTTCCAGAATTTCCAGAATAAAACGAATATATTAATTAATAAATTGATGGATGAATAAGTAAAATGCTACAGAAATGAGGGAGAAGTCTAACATCTGTTTTTCAGGCAAAAAAAAAAACTTTTAGGAAATTGGAAGACAGATTTCAGCACTCGATTAATTCAGTTAATGTCACTACCTAAATAGGTCTTTAAAAATAGGGTACATACTATGTTATTAAGTAGACAGGTGTTTCAGCTAACAGTGAAAGGAACTACAGAGTAATGCGTCAATATATTTTGGGTTAAAAAGGCAACCATTGCTTGCTTCTCAACACTTCAAAAATGCTACAAAAAAAGAAAGAGGAAGTTGCTACCAAAATCTAGAAAATGACTAATTGTATTGATTTTCAAGCTCAGAATGAATAGAGTTCATCCCAAAAGCCAGATCTTACTTCCTTCTACTGAATGTCTTCAATCTGAGCAAAATAGGTCATTCAAAAGATTTCTAAATACATTTATATTGATGCAACCTAAACCAACAAATGTATATAATGTGGCATGCAAAATTATTGCTGCATTCATTGTTTGAACAGTATTTTTAAAAATTAAGCACATCAAGTGAAATTTGATAATCTACCATCAATTATCCCCTTTTGCTTATTTTATATGCTGATTAAAGTCTAAACACTCATTAGCAGTAATAGTATTTTTTATATGAAGTAAGCATGTGTTCAACAATTAAAAATAACTTCCTCCAGATAAATTTAATTTAAAGAAGGCAATGAAAAGGGTAAAAATTCCTTCCTGTTGGATATGCCTTCTACAGGTAGTCCTCATTCATTTAGTGACTGTTTGAAGTTGCAACAGTACTGGAAAAAGTGAATTAGGGCCATTTTTCACATTTACGAGCACTGCAGCATTCCTCTGGTCACATGATCAAAATTCAGATGTTTGGCAATTGATTCATATTAATGACGGTTCCAGTGTCCTTGGTCATGTGATTACTTTTGGCAACCTTTTGACAAGCAAAGTCAATGGGGAGCCCAGATTCAGTTAAAAACCATGTTACTAATTTATAACAACTACAACGATTCACTTAACCCAGTGTTTCTCAGTTCAGTTTATTAAACTTGTATGCCGCCCTATTCCCTGAGGGAGTGGGGAATTCTGGGAGTTGAAGTCCAGACATCTTCAAGTTGCCAAGGTTGAGAAACACTGACTTAACCCCTGTGGTAAGAACGGTGGCAAAATTGGGCAAAATTTACTTAACAAATGTTTTGCTTAGCAACAAAATTTTGGGCTCAGTTATGATTGTATGTCAAAGACTACCTGTATATTCCAATCTTCTGGAGTCAAAATGCTGCTGAGCAATTAAAAAAAAAACAACTCTGAATTTTAGTAAGCTGACAAAAGGGAAATTGGTAAAAGAATTGGAAGCTTTAAAGGGCATATTTTATAAAAGGGAAAAAAGTTCACCAACTTCCTTGCCAACTGAGATATTATCATATAGATGAATAATCTCACAAAAAGGAAGTATAATGTAACCTTTTTTCAAGAATATTTCTCTCCTTCAAATCATTGCTAAAAATTCAGGCAGCAAATTACCGTAAGTCATTTGTGACCATTCCGTGCTTGAAAGAAAACACAAAGAAAGGATTTTGCTCTTAAGGAGAGTAAATTATTCAAAGTAGGATATGCTGATTTCTTTCTGAAATCATGAAGGAAATGTATTAACCAAATGCTTTCCATAGAAGCAGCAGTGTTTCCCAGGCTCCCACATCCATTCCCTTGAGTGTAAAAGCAACAAAATGCCAGGTTACGGACATTGTCCAAGGCTGTGTTGTGTTGAAGATGTCAGAGCACAACTGCAGAGACCCAGGCTGAAGTCCAGATTTGGCCAAGGAGATTTACTTAACGACTTTGACCAAACTCTTTGTGGTAAATGTTCACAGAGTTGTTCCTGAGTAAGGCTCCCTGTATAAGAAATCTTCAGCTCTCTGAGAACATGAAAGATATGGGGTTTTTTTTCTAGAATTTGTCTCTTGTTTTTGCAAGGTGTACGCATTTTTTCAACGACGCTATCAACACATGATGCAATGTCATTTTTTCCCCTCAGTTGGTTTGTGCCAAAACCTAAGGCTGAGTATGGCTGAGAAATGACTAGTTCAAGGCCACCCAGTTGGCTTTCTTTCCACTGGAAGACTAGATTCTAGGTCTCCTCACTCCTATTTCAGTATTTTGGTCTTCAAATGTATTTGGGACATCCACATTCTATATGTTCAGATATTTTCACTACCTCCATTTCCAGTGGAACTGGCCTGTCCTATCTACTTCTTTTCAGTGTGGCTTCTCACCATTTCCCATATATGAACATAGAATAAATAGGGTTGGAAAGAATCTTGAAGGCCTTGTAATCCAACCCCTGCTCAAGCAGGATATCCTAGCATTCTGAACAAATGGCTTTCCCATATCTTTTTGAAAACCTCCAATGATGGAGTATCCACAACTTCCAAATTTAAGCTGTTCCATTGTTCTCACTGTCAGGAATTTTTTCCTTAGTTCTAGATTGAATCTTTCTTCATTACTTCTTGTTCTGCCTTCAGGTGCTTTGTAGAATAGGTCGGCCCTTTCTTCTCTGTGACAGCTCCTCAAATACTAGAAGACTACTATCGTATCACCCCTAATCCTTCTCTTCTAGACTTCCCTCAGTTGCTCATCATGTGGCGTAGCCTCTTTGTCACCTTTGTTGCTCTTCTCTACACTCTTTTTAAAGTCTCAACATCTTTTTTGCATTTTATGAGATAAAAGGCAATGCTTTATCATAGTGGCCCTCATCCAGAAGATAAGACCTCCTACTAGAGACCTAGATGCCATCCACCTTGGAATTCTTCTGGAAAGCAACTCAAATTCAAATCCTCCAAAAGACCTATAATCTTCTGTCACATAGGCAGGGGTTGGTGCCTTGTTATCATCACAATCGTTTTATTTTATTATCCTATTAATATTATTTCATTAATTTAATGTTTGCATAGGATTTTGCAGTTCGGCAGTTCAAATCTCACCGACTCAAGGTTGACTCAGCCTTCCATCCTTCCGAAGTGGGTAAAATGAGGACCCGGATTG